AAATGCCACTCTCCGTAGACTCTTCTAAACTGTTTGTGAATGGAAGATGTTAGGATGGATCCAGTGCAGTCAGGACGTCGGCAAATTGTACACAGAATATGTACGAGTCATCCCTTTACAGATTGTTACTAAAACCACAAATGTTTGATTGGCCTTTTCGAATAGTGAAGCTAGCAGCACTCAAGAGCCTACAGATGGAGATTGTGGCCTAACTTCTTTAAGAGATGGCCTTTTGGACGTAGACTGTTTTGATTCATCGTTCATTCGGTTCAAACTCTTGCGTTCGCCGGCATAAAATCGTTTCGGCGATGATCGGTCGATTTCTCGCGCGTTAATCATGTATGGGCTGGGCTGCTGAAATTGCCTCTTCTATCATCGAACTTGAAATATATTTGCTCAGCAGGTGTCAGTATTTGAATGCTGCGCATAATTGGCTAGCATTCGACGAGTTGAAACAACATAACTTACTGATTGTATTTTATTGACATTTAGGAGGAATGCAACAATTACATAACGGTGTTTTTCAAAATGACCGACGAAAAGGTTTTGGTTTGTGGTACGAATGCGTTCAAGCCACGATGTAGACAGTACCTGATATCGAAGGTATGTACTGGCTCTCCTTTACTGTCTTTTGGTATTGTAAGATGTTGGTTCTCGCATAAACTGTTATACAAACCGCTTGCACGGCATTCGGAACTGCTTCCTTGCTCCTAGATGCCCAACATCCATTTAAACAAACACTGCTGAAACGATTCAAGACGCATCCGTGACTTCTGATGCTTTAGCGTCATCGAGCTATGACCTGTCTTAATAATGCTCTAGGATACTGTTTTAATGCCAGGAGACCTGGTTTTTTTTAAATATAATGCGCTTATTTGCGTTCAACTCCTGTTGTATTATGCAGGCTTGAATTTAGCATGGCGACTATCAGATGATACGTGAATTTCCGGGCGACGCATTGTCGCCGTTCGATCCTCGCTATGCAGTGGTCACTTATTATTCGCCGGACACCGACGCAGTGTACGCAGCTACCGTGGCGGACATCTCCGGCTCGGAACCCCTTATTTATCGCAAACCGTTATCCGGTTCGACCGCCGAACTGCGCACTCAAAGAAGTGACTTAAAGTGCCTGAACGGTAACCTAGCTCTATGTCGCTAAGCCAAGGCAGTGTCAATATACGTTCACATTCCGAATATAGAACCGACGTTCGTGTCGGCGGTCGACTACGGAGACGCAGTGTACTTCTGGTTCCGAGAAACGGCGGTGGAGTACCACAACTGCGGTAAGGCGTTGTACAGCCGGGTCGCCCGCGTGTGCAAACAGGACCAAGGAGACTATCGCAGCGGCTCTGATACCTGGACCAGCTACATCAAAGCACGACTGAACTGTTCTTTGCCCGGTGATATTCCGTTCTACTTCAACGAACTGCGTATGCCATTTTATATAATTATGATACTGTATAATGCTACTGACACATGAAAAAGAAAACGCAGCGTTTTAACTGTCAGCTGGAATGCTGAGATTATGCAGGTCGGGTTGGGTTTTGTTGCTCTTCTTTGCATGTAACCCTACTTTGCGTGTTAAGTGAATGCTATGTATATACCTTTAAAAGATCAAAGGTAAGTAATGGGAAAATTTTTCGAATGCGAATCCATCCACTGAGCTAAAACGGTTTTAACATCCTCTCCTGATGTGGACCCGAAGTACAGAATTGTGTTTACGATGCTGAAGGCTTTTGATTGTTATTGAGTATCTACAGCGAATAATGTAGCTGTTCTATGTCTGATATCAGTAGTCCATTTTCAGAAGCCACCACTGACCTGATTGCCTCATCCAGGGACGGCATCCGTTCATCATTGGTCTATGCAGTGTTGTCGACGCCTGAATCGAGTATCCGCGCTTCGGCAGTGTGCGCGTTCCGAATCGAAGACGTGCAGACAATTTTCGATACCGGTGCCTTCAGAGTTCAGCCCAACCCTGAATCCATGTGGATGAAGGTGTTCCGAAGTGACCTGCCGAGTCCAAAGCTGGGCAACGTAAGTCATAGTTTAACTAGTTTGTAAGCTGAGGTTAACAGTGCTTGAACAGCTGAAGTAAGTAATTACTGACGTCTATCCCAGTTAGGAAAATGACTTCATTTCTGGCAGAGAAAACTACTTTATGAACTTCGTTATGGCGCTCTATTTTATATATAATCTTGTACAGTAGGAGTCCTTTTTCGTAATTAGCGATGATCGCCATTGTTTAGCGTTGATTTCCTCACTCCTCTTTTTCATGCGCTCTGTCACAGCACGATTCCATCTCTTCTTTAGGTCATCTCTCGTCTCATCGTCTATCTCTTATCCGTTAGTCGTGCGATGTAGTCGACCATAGTCCGTCTCGAGCTGCACGCATGAAGCCGGGGGCACTATTGTTTGTCATTCATTTCTTTAGATCTTGACATCTTTTTGGCTACTGTCCATGCAAGTGTCTTAAACAAATTCTCAACGACACGTGAATCTTTATTTTAATAGATTATATGCTACCTGCTAAGCATTAAGGCGTTTATTATCATATTTTTCTATAAACCGCTTTACTTCTTTTTTTGCAGAATTGTTAAAATCTTTACCGGATGATACCTAATAGCGAGCTCACTATGAGCTTTACCCTCAGAAGTTTGGAACATAGTGGATTCGTTTTCAGAAAACGGCTATAAACAAAGAAAAAGAATGCTATTGTATGTAATACCGATCATACGCATCCATGAAAAATAAGCATATGAATCGTCGTATCCTCTTATATCGTAACATTGTCCGTAACTTCTTATTTGCAGCTAATTAATAGATTTGAAGGTTATTCTTTGTATTTCGACAAATTTACTTTATTTATTTTCTTTTTGAACTGTTTTCTCACATTCATAGACAGGGAGCTGTCGATCCGACTTTGCAGTGCCTTTTTAAGACTAACTTGCCTCAGTCATACTGTTAGCGCAGGACATACTCAAAGCACTTCATCAGCGTCACTGAATTTTTTATAATTGTATCTTAAGTTCATCTCCTTTCCTCAGGTAAACTTCATAATGAATGAATTGTTTACGAAACGGTTTTCTTTTGTCCTGCATTCAGCCATTCGTACCCCGCTGTTGTTTTCAAAAATTCAGTGACGGTTTTGTTTTTTGACTGTTTTCCCACTAGCTTGTGCAGGTTTCTGAACGTTCTTCTAATTGTCGCTTTCAGTGTTCCGTCAATTCGAAGTCGCTGAGTGACGAGGTCATAAATTTTATTCGTCAACACAATCTGCTCGATGAAAGCATTCCGAATTACTTTGAGCAGCCGCTCGTTGTTGACACTGCTTTGAGGTACGCGTTAAAGGCGCAGTATGGTAATTTCGCTCCCATGTTTATACTTATGCCATAGCTATCGATTGACCCAGATCGCGGTGGACGGCGGTGTAAAGGCCGTCAATGGTCAACGTTACGATGTGATTTTTGTGGGAACCGATGAGGGCCGAGTGATGAAGTTTGTCAACGTCGCTCAAGGAAGTCACGTAAATACGGTACTTATCGACGACGTGCGCGTTTTTCACGACCATATGCCGATCCAAAGTCTGTTGGTCAATCGTCAGGACTTTAGTAGAAGGCAGGAGGTGGTAACCGACAATTCTTTGATCGTCATCTCGCGCAATGAAGTGAGGAGCGTACCTTTGCATCACTGTACGAATCATACATCGTGCGCCTCCTGTGTCAAGCTACAGGATCCTTACTGTGCCTGGGACGTTTCCATCAGCTTGTGCGTCGGACATACAGACGGGTATCTACGCTGGCTGCTTGTTTTTCGTCAAATTTAGGTATTAATCAAAATTTGGCTTTAGCTTCTGGGCAGACCATGGCAACTACGTGCAGGATTTGATGTCTGGGCGGTCTTCCTTTTGTTCTGAAAGCGACGACGATGACAGTCATTTCGCCGTCAATGGCAAGTGGATTTGTCTTGTTCTCATATAAATTGCGTCTAAGTAGTTATTAATTGAACTTGTTTTAGTGCCCGGTTCTCAGATTGCCATTATCGAGTCCCCGTCCATATACTCGGCAGAATGCATGACCATCGCGATCATTATCACATTGGCGATCGCTTCAGCGGTTGCTTTCTTACTTGGCTATCGATTCGCTCGTTGGAAGATCAATTTGGACGAAGTGCCGAGCTACGATTCGCCGCTACGAAAGAATCTAAGGACCTGTGTCGACCACAGCGATGCGTACACAACAGCCCTTCCGTCTAAGCGTTTGGACAACAACGTAAACACAGTAGTGTCAATAGGCGGTCCAAAGTTGCAAAAAAGCCTTTTAAACCTGAACAATGGAACGTTACCTAAAGGATTCAAGGCCAAAACTGCTTACTTGTAACCAAAAGCTAGTCGGCAGAGGTCGTTTCGTCTCTACCAAACTTCTTTGCCTGGTTCAACAAACCACACCGATTAACGAAAACGGCTCTGCGACGTCGTTTGCGGGTCTATCGATATAACCCAAATGCGGCGCGGCGAGAATCTGGCGACGAATGACGCCGTCCCCAGAAGCCACATTTTTGTTTTCAGACTTGATCTCATTTTGGAAACGGACAGTTGTGCCGTTCGCTGTTTCGTCGTCCCTCGTTGTTGCGTTGTTTTATTCTACTTAATCGTCCTTCAGACAAATCCTTCGGGTTACATCGCAGGTTAGGTCAGTTTTTGAACGCCGCAAGAAGCGTGCACCGACGATTTGGACCGACAGGCGTTTTCCGTTATTAGCAACCGTAATTTTACGTTTTTACGCCCTGTTTGTTTGTAGCTGGTTTTAACTTGATATTTTCACGTTTTGTGTTCTGTACATTATTTCTGTTTTCCTGTTTTGTTTAGGCTGTGCGTTACTCACCGCTGTATTTTCTGTATATGAGCATTCTGTAAGGTGGACGTTCTTCCTTATTAAAACGGAGGACAATGTTTTCTCGAATTTTAAACATGGTCTTTTCATTTATCACCAAACCTCTGATTATGGCAACATGATCTGATTTAAATGTTGAAGTTCTGTTATACCATATGCGATCATGGTCGTCGGTGACAGTATTTTGACTATTATGGCGGGCATTGTATTTCTCAAAATTATCGGGTTTGCTCAATCGGTACAGCTTTGAACTCAGGTCACGGCCTGTATCTCGGTCAGGTCAGTCTGATTTCTATCAGTGAGCACCACGCTGTAGGAAGGAAACATGAGACTGCACGCTATGCTTGGTATATAGCGGTAGATTCTACTTTTAAAATAGAATACTTCTAGCTGGAAGAAGCGTGGATCAACGTGAATCGTAAGATTTATGAAATGAAGGATAAAGATTCATTACAGATGTTCCTCAAATGCAAGGATGACCAACATGCCGACAGTTTAAAATTTTTTTGTGCCTCATGTTTCCTCAGTACTGTTGTGTTAAAGGTTTAAGACGTGGTAGGGGTTATTGGTGATCGTCCCATATTTTTGACGGAATGCATTTTTTTATTAACATCCTTAAAGATTTGGAATTTTATACTGGAAATCATGAATTTCATCTATGTTCTTAGGTAAAGACGAGGGAAGTTAATCGATAGAGCCTCAGATAGTTTATGATTGAACTTCGAGATCAGCCAGATGACTCTCCGTTCATCCTTCAGAGGAAAGTAAAAATAGGTAGAACTTCCCGTAGGGCAAACAAGAGGTTGCAGATACTAACTATGTAACAGATATAAACTTCGCAAAAATTAGACGCTCGTGGCTGATGACGTAGCAACGAATAGCGGTACATCACAAATTCTATGAAAGAACAGGTTCACATATTGCGCCCAGTCAGAAGAGTAGCATTCCAGTACTAAAAAATTTCTGTTTTCGGTAGAGGGTTAGGTTAGGATCAAGAGAGCTCAGTTCAGTGAGCGTCGGTTTTACAGTCCAGTGATTGTTAGATTTAATCCTGGTTGGCTCAGTTTGCAATTCATTATTTCGAAGTAAATATCAGAATGATCTACTCTCATCATTGTCAGGTTTTCGGTGGTACTACCGCTTCAGTAGCAAAATCGCTTGGATATATGTTTAGAGCAGCCAAAATCACAGTGATTCGTTAATGAACTATGCATCTGTGCCGTTCTGTCGATAGCCTATTCTTCATCAACAAAAGCCATTCACTAACCATGAAATTATCAGCTAATATACCAATCGAAATCTATTAAAAGATATGCTTTCGAAGCAAATCTTTCTAAGTGAATGGTAAGTAAGGATTCTGCTGATTGTTAGGGAAAGACAGTCGACTGGTTGTTGATCACTGAATGCAGAAGCAAAGAAAAATGTTTGGATAACAATCATGTCGTCTGACCTCGCAGATTTAGCAGATGGCTGAGTGCAAAAATGAACGGTTTATTTTTAGGCCTTGGTGGTTTTTCGGTGGTATGATTTAAACGGCAGTAGTTTTATTGATTCATTTAAGCACATTTAATTAATCACCATGTCTAGCAGTTAAACGGGGCTTCCTTCGCTGTCTCAGCTGATTGCGACATTCAACTTTTTGCAGTTATTTTGCTATACATGCACGAATGGTTTTCAGTTGATTGTCGGTCGACTGTCAAAGTCGGTGCTAAGGCGCGAGCGAGTGCTTCCTGACAAGCGACGACAGACTTTTTGACGAATGCCTTGTTGACAGTGATTTTTTTTTCAAGACTGCTTTATCGTCAACCGAATGGCATGTCGCTGAACACGGTGCAACATCAACGGCTTCCGCATGCAGTTCAGTAAATGGCGTTCTGTGAGAAGATGCCTAATCTATTTTCTGCTGTCGGTAGACACCAGGCTGAATAGCAATAAATTCATAATTATTAGGTATGGAACGAGGTATCGATTCGTTTCCCGCTAACAGCTTTCATAACAGTATTGGTCTTCGCTTCCAAGATCATGGCTCAAGGCAGCAATTAAAAACCACTGATCGCGAAGCGAAGACCATTAATTAATGTTTATTAATATCTGCAGAAATCTCCGAGCAGATGACAACGCATAACAAGTCTATTATGTACAGAATCGATGATTTTCTAGATAATATTCGAACCATTAGAAAATAGTTTTGCATTCAGTCTAGAGGAGAATATCATATACAATGAAGTTTCTTTTGCGCTGATTTTGACTTAATTCCAGCCATTTAAACAGCTGCAAATGCAGAAGACATAAATAAAATGTAGAGAACGCCAGATACGATAAGCGTAAGAGTAAAGAACTTCAGGAACAGTATCTTCGCCAACTTGGTGCAGAAGACAGACATCAACAAACTTCCAACTGACCATCAAGAAGCGGATTACATAGTGAAATGGCAATCCTTCTGATAGCCGCCCAACACCAAGCTCTGAGCAGCAACTCATGCAAAGGGAAGGTCCTGCACACAAGTGAAAGATGAGACCGTGACCCCCATAACTGCCGCCTGAGAAACGATCGCGAATCGAGGATACAAGGAAAGGCACAATATCGTAGCAACAGAGTCAGTGACATTTATGGAAACGAACGACTTATCGGTAGCAATGCAATTATAGGAGCGTCAGCCGAAAGCAGATGAAGTGACTGAGCAAATGAAAATACTCTGGAACTTTTCAATACGAGTTGAGAAAGAACGGTTTACTATCCAGAAACTGCATTAGTAAAAATGCGGAAAAATACACAAATCATTGATGCGTGCCCGGTGACGGCAATGTGGATGCTATGAGGGGAGAAGAGGGCTGAGGAATATCTAAAATATCAAAATTTGAGGATGAAAACAAAAAATCTGGAAGGTAAACGTGGAAATCATTAGTGCGATGATGAAGTCAAGGTGCAGCGATCAAAAAGGATAAACTGCAGAAGGCGACGCTGCCAGAAACAGTCAGAATCATATGAAGAATACACAAACTATCTGAAGAAAATTAAAGGGTTCGTGCTGAAAGCCGTTCATACGTTATGTTTCATCGTGTTAGGCTGAAAGAACCAAAATCACTGCATGAAGTTTCTTTCGTGCTGATTTTGATTTAACTCTACACTCTATTAAATTTCTTTTGCTGAGTGAATAAAAACGTTTTTAATCAAGCACAATTAATTATAACCGAAAGTACCATAATTTCGCTACACTTACCTCACAACAGATAGCGACCACCCTATCTTTCAGCGCTTTTATTCATGGCCTTCATCTCCTAGACAGAACATGTTTAAAAGGCATAAGACTATCTGTCGAACTCTCCTACGCCATTTTCGTTTGCAGACCATTTTGGCCGTACATACTGTGAGGATTGAAAAATACACTTCATCGACGTCATTTTAGCGGGCGACTTTCTACTGTAGCCTATGTCGCTTTACGCTGATGTAGACATACGGTAAAATACTATGTAACATATTGTGCCATTTTTTAATGTCTTGAAATGATAGGGAGATATGCGCATGTGGCATTTAAGGTTCATGTTGAAATCTGCTTCAAAGTACTTGGAAAAAACTGTTACCACTCATGCACAAACGGATGTTTCGGTTTTTATAAGTTACAGAAATGACAAAGTTAATTTTCTTCAATTACTACTGTAACCCTGAAAACTTATTCAGAAAGGACCAGCCAATTACATATTTACAACTAATGACAGTACATGTTTAAATGTATGTAAAAGTCTTTACCTAAAACAGGTCGGTACTACATGACATCGAAGCGATGACAGTGGTCCATGCGTCCTCATAATTTTACTGATTAGAGCAAAAGTTGTATTACCAGTGTTTCAGGAAAGGGTACACCTTGCATACTATTGCAAGAACATGGAAAATGAATATTATATCACGGCGTATTGCACCGTTCTATTGTTACTGATTGTCCAAGGTAGTCACTTAAGCGAACTACGGTTCCATCATATTATTCGCAAAAGCGCAATCTAGCTCATCACGAACAATTTTCTGGGAGCCGTTTGCTATACTATATCGTAAAACAGTCAAAAATATGAATTCATATTTAATGTTAATGAGCGCTTCATTTCTCAGATCACTTGAGAATTTATGACAAATTTCATCACCTATGCTGCCATAAGCCGAGGGCTTTTAATTAGGTAACGGCTTTCTCGTATCTGAATATCGAAAGTACTAGAATAGTTTCGTATTAACTACTATCAATGCCTTATTCGTCACCAGTAGCAAGTAAAATGACACGTGATTTCACATGTTCACCTACTGTCAACATGAACGTGTTAAACCCTTCATCAAGTAATAACTCGGTACTTTTTAGGAAATGATTCACCGGTTTTTTTCAGTTGGAAGTCGAATTATACCCCAGGAGATCAATTCAGACTCGTTCGGCGGATTGAGAAGTAATCTGCTAGTTGAAATGCGATAATGAAGT